CTAGGAAATATACTACCGTGGTTCCTAAAGAACATTACCTGCTTCATATATGTATACACATACTAAAGGCATAATACTCAGTTTCCTTAAAAAAATTGCTTGTATTACGGGCAGGGCTCCTAAGTATTGTTCCGACTTAGACCATCCATTTGCCATCGAAGGTTACCAACGTCGTTTAACGCGACAAAGCATCTATCCCCATCAATTAAATACTTGGCACTCCACCACTGTACACTCTTCAAGAAGCTTTTTACTTCGCACAACCAATTCGTAAAACAAAATGTCTACTTTGGTATAATGTCTACTATACTGTGCTGCGATCTCAAAAACCGGCAATAAACTTAAGACTTTTGAGTTGCAAGTGACTATAAGCGGCGGTTGTTACAAACCAGCAGTTGACAGGTTTGCTCCTACATCATAAAAAATATTATGTCTTCATCAGGATAATTTTTAAGTGTTGACAACAAATAATTCAAACTTATAGTCTGTTTACCACTTTCTTGTAAGGCGTAACATCACGTCCGTTTTAGACAGTGTTTTTTTTATTACTAATTTTTAATTAGAACGTACTTTTAGTCAGTACGTTTAGTTACCATAGTTAGTAGTACTTATTTATAGGTAAGGGAGGTGACTTCTGTAAAAACATCTGAAGCGACTAAACGGACCTACTTACTTAGTTACAGTTCGTGCTTGACGTCAGCAGCTGCAAAACATAACAGCTTTTAAAGTTTTCTTAAAAGGATAAAAACTTAAACACAGTGACGTTGTGTGTTTGCTAACTTAATTGTATTAAGAACTAAAACTTTCTTCATACATTAAGGATATTTTAAAATTGAACCTTGAAGAATTTAATAAAGCATTAACCCACACGTAAGCTGAAAATAACATCAGAGTCAAATTAAAAACTAAGGCTTCAAAAAACGTGTCACACAAATACATATTTACCTTCTAATTGGGCTGGCTTTGTGGTGAGTTGTTATAAATTAGCCGTTTACTTTGATGATGAAAAATATGGTAATAAACAGGCTTTCATTACGAAAATACGAGTAAATTAGTGCTGAACTTGTGAAATAAGATTGGCAAGTTAGTCAGATTTGGTTCTAAATTGAAATCTGATAATTTGACTTGACAATTAGGAACCCAGAACAATTGTCTAAATAACAGATTTATTTAGGCAACAACGTATCAATTATCATATCATTAGTGTACAACATTTTTAATGTGAAAACCGTCCTGTAGTAGTATGTCACTCGTACATATAAACATCTCTGTACCATTTCATGTAGTGTAAGCAACACTTGATGAGAACTTAAGAGCAAGACGGACTTCATATTAAATTGTAACAAGCCCGATTATCTAAGAGTATACTCGTTATTAAAACAAGATAACACAAATTAAAAGTCTGTGGAAATGCGGTTTCTCCCGCAAAAAATATGGAACATTACAGTTTATATATTTGAATTCCAGTTTCAGGCCCAAAGTTTGATACTCAATCCTACAAATTATTTGTAAATACAGTCTTGTGAATAATAAGTAAAGATTAAGAGTTTTAATATTTTAAGGGGAAAATCTTAAATTACGATCTTAACATAGACAGTATTTAAAAATAGATTATGAATTGTTAGCATCCAGGTTTGAATAAGACAGGCTTAGCAGATAGGCCGACCGGCCGATTGGAAAGCACTTTCGCTACAGAAGAAAAAAAACATGCAACACGCATGAAAGGTGAACAGGTTTTTACGGTAAAGGTCAAACGAGCAGCCGGGTCACCTGACAGTAAATAACTACGCCCATGGACACCTGCAACTCAGGCTATCTTTTGGGTAAACGAAAGGCAACGAAAAAATAGCTTTATAATGTGTCCTTTTTTTTCTGTGCGGATATCCCCTCGGATACCACCCACCAGTGGCTATATCGGACTTAAACCAACTAAAAACCGCACGGGTACCAGTAGCCGGTTAGCCAGGTGTAACCTAGAAAGGATATCCCTGGTAGCGGGCTATCTACGGCGCGTAGATGACCCCCTCCTGTGTGGTAAACTTTATGTTCCCTTTGTGCTCCCGAAAGGACCGCACTTGCCGAAGCATGGTTCTCCCGTGAGTGTTTTAAAAATAAAGATTTTGCTTGTACCTTTATCTTTGTCTGTACTTCAAAATTTTAAGATCTACATGTAAATGTCTAATTTCAATTTGCCTTTAAAACTATAATCTCTCAGAAGCCTTTTTACATTTATAGCCAATATTAAAAACAAACGAACCTTACTCAACACGCTTGTCTAAATTCCTGATAATAGTGTAAGACGCCCGTATACTGATAATATCGAGGGTTGATCCCAATAGCTTAAATCTGATAGTTTCGTATTGCAAGTATTTCAGTGCTCCAACTAGAAATAAATAAATGTTTACGCTAAAATCTATGTGTGAATAGGCAAAAAACTTTAGTGCCATTTCCTTTTCTATTTTGCAACTGATTTGTTAAGTAGTCTACACAAGAGTATCAGCGTCCAATTTCGTTAAGAGTGCTTATACTAGATAAAATAACGATTCATCTGTAAACCACACTGTGGTCGTCTACTGATGAAAAGGCGGCCAACATTTCAACGATTACCTGGCGGGATCTTTCTAAGGTTTAACCAGGCCCTTTGTGCTGTACTCGTAGATCACTGAATAGTAGTGATCACTGAGTAGATGAAATATCGCGTGGTTTTAGTTAGATTGAATTCATCATTTCACTTTACAGTAAGTACCGATTACATAATGTCTAATGACCGTTTCGAAACGAATAAAAGTCCAGGTTCAGTAACCTTGACTTTTATTCGTTTGGAAATTTCATCTTGCGGGTTAGAGACCGTTTCGCCATCTTAATTGTTATATAGGCTTACCCTCTATTACTCGAGTGAGATAAATTAGTCTGCAAGAGTCTACAAGATGAATGTATTTCAAACGCTTCTACTTACCTCGCTCCGTGCATACCGACATGAGGGCACGTATATGTAGTGTTCTACTGTTTTATATTTTTAATGTGCCATTGCCGGAGAAAGATCTCTCTAACAAACGGTCGAAGGGCCTACCCTTTGTCCGTTTATCTATTAAACGTCAGCCACACCCGACGGGTCCTGACATACATACATGAAATCAACTGTTACTGCCCTTATAAATATATGTACATACCTACATACGTATATACATACAGTATCGTTGAATACATTTAAAACAATTTACTGCTCAATTATTTTTGAAACCAAAACCTATTCTTCGTATATCTATAAAATATTCTGTAGAGACACAAATCGTCTCTTATGCAAATGTGTCTGATTTTAAGAGTTACGGCAGATTTTACTAACGACTGTAAGATTGTATAACACACGTGGCAACTTTGATGAGATTTCTTCTAATCATGGTTTTAACCGTTTACAGTTTGCGTATATGTATAGATATGTACAAAGGGATCGCATTAAGCGATACCTTTAACTGTTGAACCGACATAAAGAGACCCACAAATATTGCTCCGGGTCTGTTGTTGCTGTGCAGGTACTAAACGTTAAGTTTAATGTCTCGTTCGATTTTACTAGATCATCTTCCTTTTATGTTCCACGCTATATACTACGCATAATGTATAACAGCTTATTTTCTTTATTTGGGATACACTACTGACTGTATCAAAATAGCTCCTAGAAAGTGATTAATACTCTAATCTTGTGTTTATTACTTTCTAAGAGCTTTGATGGCAGCTTTCTAAGAGCTTTGGTTGAGGAACAATCGGTATGTTGCTCTAAGCATGGGTAGAATGAACTGCAATGTCGTATAATTATGTTGGTCAGTGGAATTTATTTCCTGAAATAGTGTCCAACAAAAACCGCAGAACTTTTTTTTTATGAAAAGCATACTTTATCAAATTGTTCAAAGAGCTAATACAGTCTGTGAAAATCAGCTTTGAAATAATAATATTTAATATAATAATTATATAACCTTTTGGACATCTAACACACAACGCCATCAAGTTTTAAACTAAGCAGAACTTGTACTATGGAAGCAAATGTTTGCAATTTTTTCATTTTAGATGTACTTCAATTACCTACAAACATACAATGAAGATTCAAAGTAATATTTCCAAATGGCTACTGTGAAACTACTATTTAATGCGTAATAAGTGTTTCTTAGAAATGGGCTAAAACTTTACTCGTACTTTCTTTAAACCGTTTAAGAAATTGAAAATGCTATTACTAGTAGTGGTTTAACTAATACATTTCAAACTAGTCTTAGCTGTAACGATTTGCTGCTTTAGGTTTATCGCTATCTTGGGCCGAAGGCTTTTGTAAATCCATATAAAGTTACGTTGTCAATACCAAATCAGAGCATCTTCAATAAGACTTATCTCATTTCCGTCTTAACTACTGCAATCTAAGCGGACTTTGAGTAACTTGCACTTCCTGTATTATGTGTATACTAGGTTTAGCCTCGACTCGTCACGCGCTAAGTTTGATTTTACTGATAAGTTTTAGTTTAAACATTTTACTATTAATTGATATTATACCTATACATGATCAACGTAAGGACAAACCTTCAAAATGATCCCCTCGTTGATTTATAGACCATTTACCTCTTTCGAATTCTTGAACAAAATGTGTCATTAAACTAAATATGCTTGTCGACCAGTTCAGTGAATATTCTACATTGAAGCGTAATGCGTCAGATGCGTTCGACTTGCAGCTATGTAGTTTCAGGTGCAACCCCACCCTGCTGTGGGCTCCTTCGTTTTGCTCAGCTTAAGAGTTTCAAAAAATTACTCATAATATCGGGCCCTTTAATATTTGTTCTATATACATAAAAATAACGATCACTTTACATCACTTATACATCTAATAACATTCAAAGTATTTTGCTAAAATAACTCCTTTTATTTATTTTCAATTGATTATAATTTGCAGTCTAAACTTCACCTTATAAAGAAACAACAATATTAACGAACACGATTGCCAACAGATCCGGTCACATGCGAGGATGCTTGACGACCTGGTGCCAACGACAGCGTCCAACAGATCTACTGCGTCGGGATCCGAGCACAACTTTTACGTAACATTCTTCGATGAAGTTAGCAACAAATACGTTAACTCTTCACAAAACTACACCGAGGTGAGAGAACTGTGGTTTAAACATTTTGTTTTAAATTTCTCGTTTATATTCGTTTATATCCAATTAAGCATTTGGTGGTTCAAACGCTTTTGTGCTTCAAACATATAATAAATCAAGTATTCAAGATGTTTTTAAGTCATAAAACTGAAAGTACCGTGGCGAAGGTTTTATAGGTCAATAGTAGAATTTTCTCAAGCTGTGTAGAAAGTTTTATAAAAATAGAGGAGAATTAAATTCAAGGAGCCTTCATAGCATAATAAACACAGATAGTGTAAATTCAGCACATTTTGCTCTCTGAATTTTGAGATACCTTTTCACCTTTGAACCCACCGCTCAACTGAGCTCCTTCCGCTCACTTACACATAGAGGATGCTACCTTTAACCCTTTCTGCAGATATTTTAAAAAGAAATAACATATTGAAGGATTAAATATACTCTATAATATAATATGTGTATTTTAATACTTCCTCTTCCCTTAGTATAATTTTAATGGACACTGAAACGAAGAAACTGCACGATGCTTAAACCTTTAAATGAAAGAAGCTATATTTGATTTATAAATATTTGTTAAGACATTGATTTTGTCATGGAAAAGACTTCATGGTTAATTGTACTTTTGAAGGTAATACCAATAGGAATTTACAGTAGTAATTAGATATGTAACATTATAACATGTTCTGTGTTTGTAAATCACATAAAATTTCATCTCAAAAAACCTTTTGATATTTTTTATATAAAAAAAACGATTTGAATATTGGTTTTTATGTGATAATATTGACCGTAGTTAATAAGTTACATACAATCCATATTTTGCCGATGAGAATGTTTATTATTGATATCGATATAATTTAAAATTTATACAGTATTTGTTTCACTTTTCTTTTGATCCACAAGCAATTTACAATACCTACCTACAAGTATCTCTTCAAGAGTGACAAAAGTGAGTTCAAAAAAATCAATAACATTTTAGGGCCGTAGGATATCTAATAAAATCAAAATTATACAACAGAAACAATATTTACGTCTAGTTTGAAATCGTTCACAACATAACAATTATTTTTGTTATTTTGTTATTCTTTGTTCATTACGTGAACGTATATTTACAAATATTTTCCGAAGAAGTAAACCAATTTCTTTTAAAATTCGAGCCTTGGGATAGCCCAAAGTAAATAATGGCTATTTGAAATTGTTTTTTCTGTGGATATGGAGTCTTTTGTTTACAAACAATAAAACAACTCCAATATATTTGACCAGATTCAAGAAAGTTCTTAACTAAACGTTTCTTTCTAGTTAACTTAGCCAATTGTGTACATAAGTTAGTAATTATCTTTATTAGTTTGATTATATCTTTAAAGTAATGCCATAAAATTTCCAAAAAAATGGTTAAAAACAGAATTTTAAGTTTCATTTTTACTTCAGTTTAGTTTGCTTATGCTTGTAATGTACTGAAAGTTTAATAAAAATAAAGACATGTTTTCTAAAATATTCTCTATTGTATAAATAGAACAAGTATTATAACAACTTGATACCTTATGAGCCTTAATAAATAAATATGTTGCAAAAACAAAGGTAGGTTGAGAAACTGGCAGTACAGTTGGATATGAAAGGCAGATCTAGATATTAATAAAACTGTGTGAGCTCACTTTACGCAATATGCACACTGACTTTTTTTAATGGTTTATGAGGCAAACAAGCACACAACGACTACTGCCGGCCATGGTCACCTGAACCTCAAGAGACACAACTGCTTTTCTTTTCTTTGAAAACCCTCACTCTAGAATAGGCTAGGAAAGGGGTTGATCATCTCGTATCCTTAGTCACTCAGGGGAAGGCAACAAAAAAACGACTTGTTACTGGTTTTCACCTTAAGAACAGTTCAGTTATTAAACAGAGGCCCTAATGTGAGTTTATTTCACATCTACTCGATAGTCATAAAAAAAACTAAAAAAAATTGATCCCTTTTATTGACACAAAACTATATGCTCCTTTTGTTTTCTTTGTGTAACAGACCTACCAGTCGTTCATTCTTCCCTGGTGGCGGCAGGTGTTATGGACGGTGCTGTTCGCAGGAATGGTGGTCGTGGCCACCGTGGGCAACCTTGTCGTCATATGGATAGTGCTAGCAAATAAACGAATGAGGAGTGTCACTAATTACTTCTTGGGTAAGTAAAAACCATTAAATCCTATAATTATATTATAAAGCAGCATTCACGAAATTTATTTTAGGGATTACTTTAGCTATGAGTAAGTTTGAAAGTGACGAATACAATATTAAATAATTTGGTATTCCAGCAGAATACCAAATGACCAGTAAATAAAATAAGGTTTCGTAAAATATAACGACGACATAAAAGCTGTTAGATAGAGAATAAAATATAGCGGAACAAACAGGATAAATTATTTATTTTTTCGTACTTTTTTTTAAAGTGACTCCGAGTGACGAGGGTGAAATAGGATTAACTTTTAAAAGTGAAACATGGTTTTTAAAGGATTCTAACAGGTGGTAGGTGAATCAGATCTGCGTACGAAAAAAGTATGGTGTGATGTGTAAAACCACGATCAAGTGAACAACAACATCAAAACACACAAACACCACGGAGCACTTGCACGAATGAGTGCTGAGACAATATAAATGCTGCACAGTCAGCTGATACGAGTGCCGCTAAATTGGCCTTGACTGAATTCGACATGCGATAAATGGACGAAAAAAATTTAAGGCCATGTAATAAAAGTTTCACTTGAAAAACTTATAGAAAATGAATTGACGGGTCAAAATCACCAAGGTGGAAAATTCCGAGTTCTGTTTTATGATGAATATACTTAACAGCTATTACATTGATAATAAGCTTAGATGTTCACTAAACTTGTGTTTCAACAATGTGTACGTTGGCAGAGCATAGAATAAAGCACTACTCCTGTAATTTTATTTTTCAATTGAGCTGTCACTGAAAACAATCATTCCGGGAACGTTTTTGTAAGACTTATAATAAAATTAAAATATAACTTAACTATTTCTCTAGACCCTGTATATTAGCGGCAGTAAGCAGTTATTAATAAGAAATTAAAAAACTCCAAAGAAATTGCAAATAAAAGTGTTTAGAAACAAAATATTGCTACAAATGGAGCTATTGGACTATTTCCTAATATAAAATTAACGAAATATGCCATAATTGTTGACTTATATTAAAATAAATAGGCTTACGATATTAGAAGTTCGCCTTATTTTAATATTGCTAGTGACTTTTTTAATTATCTAAATTAATAATGTGTTATCTGTGACTGTGTAGTAATGTTCCCGAAAATGATTAGGTGTTCACGGAATGATGCACGTGTTCTTTAAATGAAGCATATCGTCATTTAGAGAGTTCACTATACGTCCAAGAAGCTTTTGTTATCTTTTTGAATCCATTTATTAATGTTCGTAGCCAGAGATGTATATTAGTTCGGCTGCGGTATTGTGATGTTTGACCATCAGAGTAGATTTGAAGGGTGTTAATATCTTTTTTTTCTAATATTGTTTGTAGGATTGGATTCATGTGAGCCCATATCGCATGGGCTTGATGATCCAAATTTACGGTAGCAAACGATTAGCGTATATAATATACGCCCGTATGAATAGAATGAATGTGTAATTCTCCGAAAAGTCTATCTGTATCATTACCTCTTCTTCAGCTAAATTTTCTTTTAGCTCTGTTTTCAGTTCAGTTCAGTTTGTTGTATCTGTAGATGTCATACAGATGTTTTTTCATAACTGGAATATCTTCAATAAAAGCCATTTTTAATTCATACAACATAAACAAGATTCTGTCTCTTAATTTTGGAACTACTACACAAAATGGTTTCGCTCTTAATAATGTCGCATAAGACAAATTTATTCCAGTTTCCCTAACGAATTTTGACGTGAGTTCTTTAACTGAGAATAGAAGGAGACGCTTTTTTGTTAATATAGTTTTTCTTTACAAAATCTCTCTTGGCTGGACACATCCGACTGACATCATCTATTTGGAAGAAATCTTTAACTTTTTGACAAACTTCAGGCTTCCAAAGAGCCTTACAAATTTTGGTATCAGACCAGAAGCGATGTAATGGTTCCCTCTTTTGGCAAAAAACTCTTAGCCATATGAAGTAATTCCATATTTTCATATTTCCTCACCATATTACCGCTAACACATTTCTGGCAGATTTCCCTCTCTATGGAATATTCTTGCGCATTTCAGGAGGTATGTTGACATTTTTATCATTACATCAACTTTACTGTTAGAAGTACTTTTTACCTGAACTTTGTCCTCTTTTTCTTTTCTTCTTAGTCTTTTCATTAAAGTTTTATATTTACGTTTAATTTCAGCAATTGTTTTCTCCTGTTGTTTTATTTTACGGTACGTTTAGGCTCCATCCTTACGCATACTTTTTCATCCCACTTTTCTTCTTAGTGAAGGTGTGGCAGCTAAATCATCACCGCAATGTGGTGGAGAATTGTTTGTTATACTTGATAAAGCCTTGTTCTTCTCCCTGTGTTTTTTGATGCATTTTTCAAGATTCCTTTGCTTTCGCTTTTCTCTGTGAGTCATCTGAGTAATATTTTTAACTTTTTTTTCAGATTTTTTGTTTATGGTAAGTTCTATCCTAGCCTTTTTAATTTCTCTCTCTTCCTCTGTCATCTTTTCTAAAAATATGCTTTTTCTGGCATTAGCTTTTTGTCGTTGGCGCAAGTAAGCTGAACTATTTTTGTGAAGGTGCCTTTTCGAACGTTTTTTATTTATTGAAGCATCATAAGACTCCATATTGCTAAAAAAATGAAACATTTATTAAAAACTACGTTAGCACAACATTCACTAAATTATTTAACCAATAGTTGTAACAGATGTCAGTTTGATAATGAAAAAGTCATTTCGAGAACGTCATCATCATTTCGAGAATACTCCGTCAAGTCCGGGCACGTTCTCGAAATGACCGTTCTCGAAATGACTTTTATAAATAAACGCGCCTTTATTTCAAAGGCCGCCACCTTTGACATCATGTTTGGTTTAATTAATGTAAAATACTTGGGATTACTATTCCTTATAGACACTATTATACGTATTTTTCATTCATTTTGAGTTAATAAACGCATTCCCGGTATGATGACCTATTGATGTACGCTCTGTAAATAATGAATCGAAAGGCACTTACCACTTATTTTTAATTATTTTGGCGAGAAACTTTCTTGACAGCCACTTTGTTTACATCTTTCATTACACTGCACCATAAACATCTACAGACCACGTTCAGAAACACAATATTTTCGGGCAATCAAAACTGTGTTCACTCAAATGACGCTTACATTGTCGGACATAATATTTTGACTTAATTATCCTTAGTTTCTTTTCTCTCTTTAATAATGCATATAATTACTTAATAGTTGATAAAATTTAAGGCTAATAAGTAAGAAAAACCATAAAATTTATTTTATTTTATGTATATTTCCGGTGTTAGTTTCTAAAGATTGCTACTTAGGACGCGTTCTCGAAATGATTTTTTGTAGTTATTTCTTCAAATAATAATGAATATGTTTTACTTTTGAAGTATAATATATGAGGTACGGTTAATATGAACCCTTTACAGTATTTACAAATAATAATTTGTTTAAAAAAAAACGCACTGAGGCAGTTATTTTCAAGTAAAGCTGATTTTCCACCTTGGTGATTTTGACCCTGACCTCTAATTTTTGTAGTAACGATTTTTCCCCGTACCTTATATCCCACTCAATCCAACGATAAATACTAAAATAAAGTTTAACGTTTTTTGATAAAATATATTCAGTTATATAAAAACAATTTATTTGTACAGAAATCCATTTTTCCAGGACATCAACTGTAACGCACAGCAAAATTCTATTTTTTTTTTGTATTTTGACTATACTCGTATTTATATACATTAATGTCTATAGATACATAATTATATATCATATGCATACATATATTACATAAATACAATATATCATAACTGCATGTTACTCGTATTTATAAAATAAAAACTTATTTTTTATCATTGGTTATCTTAAAAGCTCTCGTTTTATTAGAAAAATGATTTTAGTAATACAAATTGAAAACTTCAAAACAAAATATTACACGAAAATTATTAGAAAGATCGTTAATAGACTCTAATAATAAACTACTATGACTAAGCACTACAATTGATTAAATTGCTGAATTTTCATCATATTATTTTGGTACAGGATCAAACAAGCAAACGGGTAACCTACGGTTGCTCTCGGATACTTCTCTTATTACTGCTGCTACTAATTTACCTACTAAGTTTTTAAATAATTTAGGGACCTTATGGTACCACTAATAAATTAAACTATTAATAAAACTAACTAACCAGCATTTTAAGAGTGGTCAGTTTATGTAATGTAGAAGGCGCATTATAAAACTTGGCTTTTACATATTTACTGGTATTATCTAACATGGAACACCAACAAAGGCACTTTTAGCTTTAAAATTAAGCTAAAAGTTTAAGTTTTTCGTTTCATCTTCAGAAACTTTTCCTAATTACTCATTTTGGGGGCTATTGCTTATAATTTGAAGACATTAACAGTGGTTTGCACTTGCATTCAGTTGCTAAAGTGGTTGCTAAGAAATCCGTTGCTGTCGACATTTTCTCCCAAATTCCTTGAATTTTGTAAGAAAGTTGTACTGAAACATAATTTCATTAACAGACCTATGTAATTTAATTACATAGATAAATTACAAATATTATAATGCGTTAATCATTAAATAGTTGTAGTGACTAGCCTAACAGTTTTTATATCGAGCTTTTAAATCGTTGATAATTAGGTTTACTAACCAGATTCTATTTTTTAATGAAACGTTCATTAAAAAATAGAAGCCTAGAACCTGCATTGATGGTCTATTATAACCCTAAGGAAATAGATGATCTCATATTGCCGACGTATCTAAGCTCGGTCTAACAAACTTGGCAACAGTCAAATCTAATATTACTTTTATAAGTAGATAAACGTATAGAATATTAATCAAGTAAGCTCATAAAGAAAATAATAATTGTGTTTTATCTTTCTCTCAGTGAATCTATCCGTGGCAGATGCTATGGTGTCAACATTGAACGTGACATTCAACTTTACGTACATGCTGAATTCTGACTGGCCCTTCGGTCACTTCTACTGCAAGTTTTGTCAGTTCGTAGCAGTGCTCAGCATTTCGGCATCTGTCTTCACTTTACTGGCCATTAGCGTGGACAGGTAAGTTATTTATGATTTTTTTTCTTAAAGGATAACTCCCACATTAGGAATATATCCTGTGTCGTGGGGGGTTTTTCAAACATACATGAAAGGATCACAACAAACACCCAGACTCAGAACAACAACACAAAGTATTTTCCCATGTGGGGGTCAAACACACACTCAGCGCAGTAGAAAGCGGCGTGGCGACCGCTTAAACCAAGTCAAGTAAGGGGTTGGTCATCCTTAATTTCTCCATTAAATAAGACTATTTACTGATATGATTGAAACTTTTGCATTCATGTGCATGGCAATGTATTATACTTTTACCTTCTCGCGTGACCTTTCTAAGATTTCCTAAAAATAAAAAATCTTATTTTGATCGTAATTTTCTCAACTCCCACCTTCAGAGAACATTAGCATGAAGCAGTGATAATTACCATTATCAGTCAACTTTTAAACCTTACATTGATATTATTTTTTAGGTTTTTTTTTACCCTCACACATCTCACACACGGCTGTCTGATCCCAATCTAGGCAGAGCCTGTACTGTGATAACCAGACTGCTGATAAACATTCTGATATATTTCTAACTATACTAGCTGACCTGGCAAACATTGTTTTGCCATATACATTATTTCTAGGCAATATTGAAAAAAAAATGGTATTTAAAATAAACCCTTGCTATTTAAGGGTATTAAAAATAGATGTTGGCCGATTCTCAGACCTACCCGATGTGCACACAAAATTTTATAAAAATCGGTCTATCCATTTCGGAGGAGTATGGTAACTAACATTGTGACACGAGAATTTTATATGTAAGATACAAGCTCCGGCTTAGCAGTCAGGATCTCTAACCACTAGACCAACAGACCCGTCAAAATATAAAAACTGACACAATATTTTATTATTTTAAATTGCGCTATATATTGATGATTGCATCTATCTTTATGACTATCAGATCAGAAAGTAAATAGTCTAATAGAATTTGAGAACGTGACCGTTGTGACCTAACAAGAACAAATATAATTCAAGTTATAATCAAATCTTTAACAATCAGTCAATCAGTACATCAAAACTTTCACTATCAATAATACCATTATGTGACTGCGTTTATGAAAGTATTTAAACTGACAAAGTACAAATTCATATCATAATGACGCTTCCTTCTGAATTACCTAGGGCATGTGTATCGCGACTTCAATTACCTAAGTCCACTTTAGGGGTTCTTCTTTTTCCGCACGGAAAAAAAAGGGGTTTCTTCTTTATATGAATTTACATAAGTACAGTCTAGTTCTTGGATATCTAACCATGTTCATGAATACATAGGTAATGGTATGTTTCATAAAATTCTAAACAGCTTTGCCTTACAATAAATTGTAAACACTCCGTGATATCACAAACTTGTAACTACATAATATCGATAATATTGCTATAGACAAAGACTCTAAATATTGTGCGCAATCACTTGTTTATTTTTTCAGTGCAAAGTGAGGTTCATAAATATCTATGCAAATTTTCTATGATATGTCTCGACTTATTTTTTATTTATTTTTTTGATAAATTGTCACAATCTCCTTACAAAAGTAAATCCAATTCTAATAATGGCGATTAAGCCAAGATTGTTTTGTTTTTGAAAATACAATTTGATGTTAACGGGTATCGATTACGTGGACATCTTAAAAGATGATAAAACGCCCGCTAGGAAGTTCTAACTTAAACCCTAAATTATCTACTGGGGTAACTCAGTTGATAAAGTGATGGCCTTTAAATTTAAAAAACGAAGTATAAGAGGGATGTTAGGACTACAAATCACAGACAGATGTAGGCCCTACTTTCAAAAACACAAAATATTAACGTTACCATCACTATACATCTGTGTAATTGCTGTATTTGTAAACACTAAACCACATCTCTTTCGCAAAATGTCAGACGTCACTAGACGCAATCGCCCGGCAATCCTATTATTGCCTATCCTATTACGTATGCACACAGCAAAAACAAAAACAAAGCAAAAACTTAGCAAGAGCGTTTTTTGTATGGCTCCCAAAAAATTACAATAAAGTACCTAATACATACATACATAGGATCTTAACGTTAACTTGTTTAAACGTTTAACTTACGTTTAGGTAGGACCTTTTGAGTAACAAATGTTTTTATTCTGTACATGAGTTCCTTAGTGATAAACATTTAATTTAACTTCTCTCGGGTTGAAATATTTTTCTATTTAATTTAATAATATCTAATTTAATAATATAAATATGTCATTAAAGTTTTCTGTACTACCGCTGAGCCTTAATTTAAGAAATATATAACGCGAAGAATAAATATTTATTAATAAATTTATCGTAAATTAATAATTGCTCTGTATAATTATAAGTTCATATCTTAATATCAAATGAACTTATTTACGGTTAAAGGTTACACCACACATTTATAATTTTGCATGCCTTACGGTAAAAGCACTTGAAACATACCTATAATTTTAGAACACCATTGTAACAGTTTTTTCTGCAAAATAAATAATTTGAATTTAAAACTGGCAGCACAATTGCTAAAACCTAACTGGAAGCTCCCCACCTTATTTTAAATGTTAGATGTTTAGCAGAACAAAATAAGTATTTTAGAATACTTAATAAAATAAATATTTACTTAAGTAAATCTTATTTTGATTTTAGAAACAGACTGAGTAAAAGTTTTGAGTAGATACATATAGTCTGCGTGGACTCTAAGATTTCCTATGCGTTGACCCTAAGATTTCCTAAAACCTAATTAATTAAATAATGCAGATGCTAAGCAACGTTGTCATAGTGATACAGTCCTATTACGAGTGGCAACGTCGCATTATTACTTACATACCGGCAACCAAAAATAAATCTAATAGAAAAGGCATTATAGCTGAATATTGACAGATGTATAGATATTTATGACTCCTAGGTTGTACTAAATATATGGAAATCTAGAGCATTTAGACATTTTTGTGCAAAAGAGTAGATATATAATATTGACTACGCTACCGTAACATATTTATGAACAATTTATATGAAAACGTTGTATTGATGTATAAGTGTGTATGGAACTATATGATCATTTTAACGCTTACAATATATTGAAACATGGGCACTGCCAATATATTATTGAACTCGACTGTACATATCGAATTGACATAAGAAAATAAAACATGACAAAAAAACATAAACAGACATAAATATTGACGTTTCATTTTGACGTTACCACTTGTCGGTGGAATATATGAAAGTGAAATAAAACGAAAGGGTTCTACTTACTTTCCTCATGAATTCGCAATAAAATTCTCTACTATTCTTATGATGCATACCTCATACATGATAGTACCCGTAGGTACGCTTCTTTGAATTGTCTCACGGCTGGATTAATATCGTTTATTGTATTTTACATAGCTTTGTTCTTCAATTTACAAATAGCGGTATTCACAATTGGTTTAAGAAAACCATTGCGGGATTCCGATTCCTTGCTTTTCCCTAATAAATACAGATTGAATTTTAATCTGTGCGGTAACCTTAAAACAGGTTTTGTCTTTACATTGTGAAAAAAATACTTTTTGAAACATTTATTCGATTTTTATATTCAATTCTATTACTATTCTAATTTAGCTAATTAGGGCCATCAAGGTATTTATGTAGCAAGCGTATTAGTTTAAATGACGTCACTTACACTCCCACTTGTGGGACTATTTTACATAAATATAGTCAGGAAAGTAACCTATGAAACTATTTCACTCTAGGCAAAGCTAACGTCTCAGAACCCACTCTGAATATAATCAGTACTAAGAGCCGTTTAATATAATAATTTATGTATACTATTCCCATAACGTAGCAAGCTAAATGCCTTACCAATTAATGAGCTTAGGGCCTTTTGACCGGAAAAAACAGACCACAAGTGAAGTTTATCTTAAATTTACGGTGTATTTAATATTATGTCAGAATATACATATTTTAACATGGACAAAAGCTTTGAAATTACTATTAAAAGTAGTTTTCAGTATTTTTCATTTATTTACTTTTACTGTAAAAACCAATTATTAAAATAACTTACATCTTGTCTAATCAGGGCTGCATTATAAATGGTGTACTGTATTATAATCCTATAATTATGTATATATATTAAGATAATTTTAGACAGACTGAAGGTCAAAACAAATTATTTAACTAGGCCGCATATTGTTAAGCAGGTACTGGTACCTAGCAAGGTCATCGTCATTTTTCTGCCTTCTTTCAAATTTTTTGCTGTAGCCGTTTATCCATTGCCACTGCCCATTAGACGAGCTCACACTTTCGCTAGCTAAACTACAGGCGCAGAGTGGCACACCGTGTGGTTTTAGTCGGTCCGATTCCGACACACCACCCCGCCGCAAAACCCGGTAGGGTGACGGCCCGAGGGGGTTTCCACACGTAAAAAAAAAAAAAGGGTTTGTATCAAGTTTTCCTTCTCTCTGCAGTGCTGTTTTTCCTGCGTAGTTTGCTCCCTTAGTCAGCTCTTACGACACCCACGGGATGAATAGGGGTGGTGACATTCCGTATTCTTAATCGGTCACCACACGGATAGTCTTAATTATATCATACTGCCAATTGCAACTCCCCATGTCATCCTTAATTTCCGCCTAAGGCTGCGAATCGTAACCTTTTTTTCCTATAATTAGTTTTACTTTCTTTGTGTAACTGTCCCTAGATCATAAGAATTATACAAATGTACATATATATACAAACTGTTCTATTATTATGTTTATTCTTGTACAATAAAGAGTTACCTATTTACCTTATCCGGCTCCAACCCTACTTATATGTCCATATTATTCTATGTCATAGGGTCAGTTATAGGTAAGACAGAATTTACAAATCGTGATTTTTTCGAATGGTCTCCTTTCGACAGATTTCGTCCTTTAATTTCATTTATTTTCATTTCCTTAATCATCCTTTAATTAAAAGAAACCTGATACAACAAATTTGTTAGTAGAGTTAATGAAAAAAGGAAACCCGGCCGAAATTGTACCAGTAAATGAAAATGCACAGATAATGACGTAAACATCCATTCCGGACGTCTCGGTGTCCTCAGTCCTTGAGGCTGTTTGTTTCTATTTCAGCAGAAGCCCAATCATATTTACAAGTTAATTGGCTACAACAGTTTGCTGGTGTTTTCCGCTCATCTAAAACATCCCAAAGTAAAATAAATCTTGCAACTACTGAATTTAATACTGTAACGTATATTTTTTATATTGGCAATACCAATTTTGGTGCAAATTAAGTATTAATAAAATGTTAATTGAAGACAGTTACTAGCATTTACTACAAACTTTAGTGGTTTAAGAATGCTATGCAACTAAATTTGCTGTATTTTTATTTGCTAAAGTTTCCGCAAGAAATATATGTATTTGCATTCGAGCAAAATATAATAATATGCAGATTATGTCCAGAGACAGAAAAAAACCGCCGGAAACCTCACTTACTTAGTGTAATGCAATGAAAGAATGGCCTCACCACGGCCTCATATAAAACCGGTCCTTAGGTTATATCGCACCTGTCACTGCCAGCAATCATTGCTGCCATGCTGGCGGGTGAGGAGGGATGGGGCACAGTGGTCTCTTTCTGTGAAGCTGTAATGCTCCAGAAAGAGACCGCTGAGTGGGATCGGGAGACCGGGGCCGATCCCGAGCGTAGAGGACATCGGCGACCATAAGGGATAAGGCGGCGGTAAGGGATAGGAGGGCATTAAGACGAAATTGGGCCGCTACGTCACGACTGAGGGCCGTGAAAGATTTTCCCCTGAGATAGGGCCTGACTGGGCATGGTGTCAATTCGGGGAGTACCTGAAATAACATGGTCCAGGTCCTCCCAGAGTATGAGGCCGGCCGTCGGGGTGGTTTTTAGTGGAATCACCACATACTCCTAGCTCCTAGCCCCGAGGAGCAGGAGATCCGAAGGGATTTTCCACCCCGTCAAAAAAAAAAAACATATCGCACCGATTCATGTCAACTGCAAAGATTTTGTTTCTTTTCATTGTATTCTTTATGCGACAAATCAACAACATACTTGGTATTAAATACCTATATTCATGTTAGCAATCTCTTTTACGAAAAAATTCAGTCTCTCTGTTTTAAAATAAGCATTATTTATTAAAAGTTCAAAAAATCCTGCAACTGCTACCGCTCTACTTTAATTAGGGAGTGTTTAACACGATGCTGAGAAATGCCACCTTATTCTGTAACAACTGGTACACTCGTATTAAGGTATTGTCATTAGGGAAATGTTCCTATTATACGATTATTTCAAGATTTGAGCCTGTTAAGCATTGTTACTTTTTTCCCTTTTCACGGTTAGCGGACGTTAATTCTCGATATTAAATTTGCAATACTTTCACAATGTTGGGTTTTTAATAAATAAAATTTAATATGAATTTTGGTTGAAATTTTTTATCGGTTATACTTAATTACACTTACTTTTATGGCTGAATATTTATCACAACCAACATTACCAGTAGAACTAAATTTAACTAATTTTAAAGTCATGCACTCTTTTCACAGGTATGTGGCCATCATGAGCCCGCTAAGACCCCGGTTGGGTAAACGAGCTACACTTGGTATCACAGCTGCTATCTGGGTGTGGAGTTCCATTCTCAGCAGCCCAAACCTAATCTACTTTACTACAGATAATGATATTTTGCCCGATGGATCAATAAGGTATGTTATTATTATTAAGATTTAGATATAAGTTTTTACGGTAACTTTATTTTAATTAAGCACCCACGTTAGGAATCTTTTAACTCCTTGAGGAACCCTAGTTGACCATCCTAATACATCTGAGTAAGTATACGACCAGTAACACCATATCCTCTTTCATTTATTTTTGATTATTCAAGCCGTATTATGCGATCAAATTTTGAAGAGTTTTTATGACTCTTTTTTTTTTACGTGTGAAAACCCCCTCGGGCCGTCACCCCACCGGGGTTTGCGGCGAGGTGGTGTGTCGGAATCGGACCGACTAAAACCACACGGTGTGCCACTCTGCGCCTGTAATAGGAGGGATCAGGGAACTGCTGTTATTAGGACATCCGGACCCCTCCTAGCACCTGCCCGCAACGGCGCGGGCACCACCTTCGGGTACATTCTCCATTTAGGCGACGTCCGGCACACGCGGACATCGCCTCCTCGCAGCTGGCCGTTATGGCGGGTGGACGGGAAAACCCGTCCCGTCCACCCGCGGACTCACTCAAGGCGGCATGAGGCGGTGGTAGCCGCCTCCGCCGCCCGGTTCGACGGCGACGGATTGGGTCCCAGTGGAGGTTGTCCTCCCGGGCCCTCTCCGCCTCCTCCTTCTGCGAGATGACATCTTCGCAGAAGGATGCGTCCGCGGTGTAACATCTGTCACTACCGGCCATGAAGCGTATGACGGCCGGCAGCGAGAGATCTTCCCCGATGTCTGCAATGAGAACCCGGCGCTGCGGCGCCCAAGCCGGGCAAATTGCCAGTGTGTACTGAGCCGAGTCCTCACTGCAATTGCAGTGGTGACAGGCGGGCGGTGCTCCTTTCACCTCATGCATTTCTCAATATTAAGCACAACAATTAGTTCTTTTAATTCGTGTTGCAAGATCGATCCACCCACTGGAGAGAGAAAACCTTCTCACAACCACTGTAAATGTGTAAGATTGTCCTTCAGATTCTTATCAAATTTCAATGTTTTATTATATGCCAACCTTTAAGTACTAGTTTAATATTAATAATGTATAGTAACAGGTTTAGGATTTACTTTATTTATGTCATGATTTTTTTACAGGAAAGTGTGTTTCTCCGAATGGCCTGATGGAATGACTACAAGGTCGAAACTCGAATACTGGTGAGTGTATTAAACTTTTATTAAGACGAGAGGTATATATTACTTAGCCTCTATTGTATATGCAAATTAAACATTCTTTAGGTAAAGTATTTATATAATGGTATTTATTTCTATAGCATTTAAGACAGAGTGATAAAAGTTTGAATAAACATGTATGTGTATAAGCTTTGGAAAATGGTATAGTAGTATATCAATATTAGGGTAATTGTTATCCGTGTGATGACGGATTAAGAATTGAGTGAGTGTCAATACCCTTATTTATCCCGTGGGTATCGTAAGAGCCGACTAAGGGAGCAAACTACGCAGGACAACGGCGCTGCAAAGAGAAGGAAACCTTGACACAAACCCTATACCAACCCGTCTAGCCAGCGTGGTATAGTAGACAAAAACCTCCTGTCTAAGGAGAGGCCTATGTCCAGCAGTAGACTATTAAAGGCTGTTGATGAATTGCTGACAGAAAAGTAGTATGTTTATCATAATATAAGGACTAAGAATGTCCTAAAGCATTAAAAAATTTAGTTAAAATAACTTAAGTTTAAATGCAGATCCGGGACCATTTTTTTGCTTGTACGTATCGCATATACTATAAAAACCACCAGGGTCGCAATGGGCCGATTTTGAATCAAATTCTCACACTCGGAGCCAGCTGTTTTTACTATTGCCGAAATGTTTACATTTAGATCTCAAGTCATTTGATTCGAAATCGTGTGACCAACGTACTATAATAAACGTGAACAAAGAAATCGTAAAATGGGGGTGTAAGAAACTAATGTGTTTACAGGTACAACGTCTGTTTCATGGTGCTTACGTACTTTTTGCCCATCACGTCGATGACGTACACTTACTCCAGGGTCGGCATCGAACTCTGGGGTTCTCAATCCATTGGCGAATGCACGCAGAGGCAACTTGATAATGTCAAGAGTAAACGCAGGGTAAGATTAAATTATATATGTCACTAACAATGACACACACCAGATCACACTGATGACTCATTCAACAAATGTCTATAGAGTTTACGTACTCTAAACTAAAAAGTGAATCGATTAGTGGACATCTTGATTTCTACTTGGATAGCATTACAGAGATATATATATAGACTAGCTTTTGCAAGTGACTTCGTCCGTGCGTTGGTCGACAATCAAGATTATAGGTAAATGTATAAAAGAAGATTAAAAAATGACTTACCGATTTACTGACTGATTGAACAACGTTCGTTGCTAAAGATACATCGTAAGGTTATAATGACAATATTTCTTCTTAAACACTTTCTTTGGGGTAGTTAAAAAAACAGTACTAACGTTTTTATTTTTTTTCATTAAGAGTATTTACTGTAAGTTTGAATACGCTAGTACCAAAAAATAACGAAGTTTCATATAAATTTCCAACCCTCATTTTGCACCCTCAGGGATGGATTTTTTTTAAATCCTTTCTTGGGGCACATCTACGTCACCTAAGGAAATTTTCAGGCTTCTAGACCCAGCGTTTTCAGCTGTACGTTGATCGATCAATAAGTGAATTAGTCTCAGTTTCTTCTTTTATATATATAGATTAAATAGCGGTTTATATAGCTTGAAAAGCGAAGAAAGAATTAACGATTCTGGAATTATGAGAAGAATAAAGAAGGTAAATACAAGACCGCGTATTTCTGTCATGGTTAGAGCAAAGATATTGGAAGTTGGAAGTTAAGTAGATTAGTCAAATGAGTGGAGAAAGGTGTACAATATGTCTCATGGTGTCTTAAAGGTAACCGTGACAGTTCCGTACGATAATATATAAATAATAATAGGTGGAGCTTGCGATCGGTATTAACTCGGAATTAATATGCAGTGCTTTTTCTCTAAACAATGGAACATGCCCTGATATCTACACGCAGGAATTAATGAATTCTACACTCATTCAAATTAATCTTGTTTCTCCTTGTCCATCGTATATAATTCATTTAGGTAGTCTTAGCAGATCCTAAAAAAACAATTTGAAGATTTTTGTTTGAGTATTTTCAATATTTACCTCTAAAACTATATTTTTTTCTCAATTGTTTCTTGCTACAATGTGCCGATTCTGTATTAACCATAATTATTACTGAAAATTCGAGGAAACACATGAATATGTGTCCTAATGTTCTTTCCACTCTGTAACACTAAAGCCCCGTCGAAGACAGAAAGTTTCAAATATTAGGCCTTACATATTATGAAATTGGCGTTTTGTACGGGTGAAATATAAAGTCAATTATTCTTTTGTAAAATATATTTAATTAATCAAAGTATGCACCGTTGTTATCTATGCACTTTTGCCATCTCATAGGTAGTTCATTGATCGCTTTACTACAAAAAACATGGGGGCGAGAATAAATAAATTCTTGGTGGTTTGGACTGCCGCATCGGAGTTAAATTTTTTTCCTTGTAAGAAGTTGTCCAAATTGTGGAAAAAATGATAATCTGTTGGAGCAAGGTCCGGAGAGTACGGTGGATGTCGCAGACTTTCCAATTGTAGCTCATCTAACTTAGTGGTTGTTTGTTGTGTATTCTGTGGTTTTGCGTTGTCGTGAAGCAGCAGTGGCCTAGAGCGATTGACCAATCTCGGTTGTTTAGCAGCTAGTTCTTCCTTCATGGTTTGCAGTTGCTGACAAGAGATGTCTGCCGTAATCGTTGGGCCAGATTTTAGAAAGCTATGCTAAGCACCAAACACTCACAAGTAACTTTTTTTGAACCAATTTTCGTTTAGGGCAGGATTTGGGTGGGTCTCCAGGGTTCAGCCATCGCCACAAGCGCTTCCGATTATTGTACAGTATCCACTTTTCATCACAAGTAATGATTCGATTTAAAATCCCTTCATTATTGTGTCGGTTGAGCAAAGTAACACAGCAGTCGACGCGTGTTTGCAAGTTCGATTCACTGAATTCATGAGGTAACCATCGTTCAAGTTTTTTTACTTTCCCGATTTGCTTCAAGTGGATTAATACAGTTTTATCACTTACCCCGAAGCCTGCAGCTATCTCTGAAGTGCTTTGTGATGGATACGCTTCCACAATAGCCTTTAATTCTTCATTTTCCACTTTAGTCTCCGGCCGTCCACGGGGTTGGTTCTGAAGGTCGAAATTTCCAGAACGAAAACGTTGAAACCAAAAACGTACCGTGCTTTCTTTTGCGACACCAGCACCGTACACATCATTAATCCTTCGAGCTGTTTCTGCAGCACTGGTGCCACGGTAGAACTCGTACTCGTAATACACCGATATTTCATGTTTTCCATTGTGCGGTAATAAGCGACGCCAAAGAAAAAAATTATGAGGAAAAAACAAATGAATGACTGTTTTGAAAACTCAAATGTACCAGGTAAATGAATTTATAAATTTGTATTTGGAATTCTTAGCCAAAGAGGAGATATTTCAGATCCAAGTGGTCAGTACGATAAAACGCTAATTTCATATGTAAGGACCCAATATATTAGTATTGCTACTAAAAAAATCTGTGGTCAAAAAGAAAGGCAAATTGTTCTTTAATGTTTTGTTTTACTTTTTTTCATACTAAAGAGTCGTAAAACATACGACACATTTTTAAATTAATAGGAATTTACATAAGGATAAAAGCAATTTCGTTTTAACGACGACGCATATATCATAGCCTTCTAGTAACTCAATTTCATTATTTGCATATGTTTGGCGCTTAGATAGGATAATTTTTATAAAGAACGAAGATCCATATTTGTTGAGAAATTAATATTATTTAACGGGAATTAACGCGATCTCTTATTTAGGGTATTACATACCTCTGGTTTGCCTGACGTTTCGACCAGGTTGCACCGGCCGTGGTCACAGGCTGACTGGCAGTCAGCCGGTGACCACGTCAGGCAAACCAGAGGTATGTAATACCCTAAATAAGAGATCGCGTTAATTCCCGTTAAATAATATTAATTATCATGGAACGCGAAAGTTTAAAAGTTGTTGAGAAATGTTTTATATTTTACATTATTATAAAACGCTACATATGATTTTTCAAGTTAATCACCTTTCAGTCACGTTATCACGCATATGACAATATTAAGTCATGTATGACAGTGTAAACGTTTGGATGAACGTGTGTTTGCGCTTATGCTTATGCATAACTAATCCACGTTAGCTCCTTAAGTTAGTACCTTACCGACTTTCATCCGTTCCTACAGAAACATTTAATTCAATTTGAGGGTTAAGTAAGATATGTTTACAGATTTCTATAGAATAATATTTTCCTAATGCTATCTTTAGTATGTACCGTATGAATTAACTTTTTTTTAAATATTCTTATAAATAACTGTCAATAACCTAAAATTAGTTCATTCCGTGATCAATTTTATAGCAGTCTCTAAAAGTTTGAAAGCTTATTAAAATTTCATCGATATTTTAATATAATAATACTTCTAAACTCTTAAGCTGCTTCAGCGACCGCATTTCAAAGGTCCACTGCCCACTTAAAACTGGATGGAAACATTATATTCAGAATAAATTAAATATCCTCTTTGTATCTGTTACCTTCTAATGTGATTTGGATATTTCATTGGAACGCCTTCCTTATATCCTTGCAAAGAATTGATTTCCCTTGAGAATGGGAATCGTGTTAATGTGATAAGTCGGAACAGATTTCACTTATTTCGACATGTTTCTGCGTAAGACGAAGTTTTTAACACATTATTAACCTATCTGCCATGCTCTTAATGGAGACCAAAATACAGATTTCGCAAACTGTCAAAAGCTATAGTTAATTTTGAACATCAGTTATCATCTAGATATTCACTAAAAACTATCAATATTCTTGTAACGACAACAATTTAGTTTTAATCCAATTGCGACTTCTTCGTCTGTCTAAAGTTTACAACGTGAGTGCTATTGTTAACGATAATTTGAATCATTTTTTTACAAGAACACAGATTTAGGTTTTAAGAATGGGATGCCTGATTTAAGAGACTCTATTAAATAACAACTCTCTCAATAAAATAATATAGTTCTATACATACATACATACTGCCATTTGTTCTGTTGTATTTGTATTGAATCATATATGATAACAAAATAGCTATCGTTGTAATTTTTTTTCTTTTGCTCATTAGGAAGTTTGGCAAATTCAAATAATGATAGTTTATGTTTTCATGCAGTTTGTGAAACATTGATATGAATTCTTATTTTATTAGACAGCGTATATTGTTATAGTATTAATTATTAGATACTAAATAGATCCAAAGTTTGTCTGGCGGATATCGCTATCAGCGATAATACCGCCCATTGTGCCTTTGTATTTTTATTTTATGATCTAATAACTTGTTGAATAAAAGTCTTTAAAAATTTTATAGTAGTTAGTAGTAATTGACGGTTAATTGCAGTCAGGGTCTGGTTTAAAGGGCATCTTCCCCCGCGGCCCGCAGATGATGTAAACATTCAACTCATTCGCCTACCGCAGGTGGCTTTGATATGAAGATATCACTTTTCATCGAACTACTATATTTACTTACAGAATCTCACTTAACTCACTAGTATCTGGATGACCGAGGGTACGCCTGGTTCTCCGGCTACTGGTACTTGAGATGGCGCGCAGTTTTTGTGACCATCGGTGGGTGGTATCCGAGGGTATCTCCACACAGAAAAAAAAGGAACAATCCCTAAAACTAATCCTACGATACTCATCAGTAATTGCACATTGCCTGACGTTAGATATTATAGCAAATTTAATTGGAGTCAAAAAAATTGTCTTTTAACTTGCTTTATCAGCTTTTACTATCTTAGGATTAAAAAAATTAAATATATTGACATATATACCTAAATTTTAGGTCTAAATAATACGTAACTTGTATATAAATATGTATTAATGTCAGATATCACACACTAATAACACATAATACCACAACATACAATTATGCTTCGAACTCAGACAAAGGCACAACTTGGAGGTGACGGGAACAAAAACTAATAGCAAAACTTATTCCAAACTATCGTCCATTATGTTCGCCCTAAGCTCTTTGATTTGTTACATAAATATTATGACGTGACAACACGTTAATGTGAAACATGTTTTCATATTCTAATATTACTTGCCTTTAGTTATCAATGTAATACTATTCTCATTGAAGCTTTAAACAACCGTTTTTTTTGACCTTTTATGTCAAATGAAAGAGTCTTATAAGTTTTGACAAGAAGAATAATGGACAGAGATAAGACCAGTAAAGTTCTAATAACAGTATGATCATTGAGAAAGCAATTGTCAATGTTACCATTGTGGCGACTTCCACATAGGGAGAAACGTAGAAACATACTACAGCGCCATCTAACGAAGACACACCTAACTACGGAGTAACTCCTGAACGAGAATTGCTAATTGTGTATCGCGCTATGAAGAAATCTCTCGCCGATTGGCATATATACAACTTCCCAACATCAACCGTTGTGCCGCGGCCCGCCAGGCATGATCATCTCGCCGGGTCGGAGGATCCCCCCTTTGTGTTGGAGAGACATGACACCCGTTCCTCCATAGTAGTGAGCCCGACGTGATTGGAAGCAGCCTTCAAAGAAGATCCGCAGCAGCACCATCGTCACCATCGTGTACACTCAAACAACGATGAGCAGTAATCAAGTCTCAGCCAGCCAGCAACCTTGGTCACAACAGGGATACCAGCTGCAGGCAGCGACCGCTCCAGTCTGGTTACCCTACGACATCATGAGCGTCTAGGCACAGCACACTGCACCTACGGTCCTCGTAAGAGGGACATGACACCCGTTCCTAATCACCATTCCTGTATAAACTCGTTTATTAAAATAATTTAAGTTGATTCTAAAAAGCTAGCTTTCACTAAATAATTTACTGCATCAGATTTATAGAAAACCTAAACAATACTTGAAATAAGCGCGTTACAATAATTATTAAATACTAATAATATTATATTTTGGGAGAGTCCAATTTGCTTTAGTAACATATTAGTTTCATTAAATGTTTACGCCTTCAAATAAATCCAGCTTCTCACATTTAATCATACATCACATTATAATTATAATTAATTTAATTCGCACAAATTATCATACCTGACTTCAAATGACAAATTTGGTATATATAATTTTTCTATTTAAATACTAAGTATATGTATTATTATTATTATTATATTATTTTTGACGACCGGATGGCGTAGTGGTTTGTGTAACGGACTGCTATTCCAAAGGTCGCGGGTTCGATTCCCGCTCAAGTCAAACATTTGTGTGCATGAACATTTGATGTTTGATTTGGTCTGGGTGTTTCTATGTATAATATGTATGTATTTACAAAAAAAAGTATATATGTATTTATATCCGTTGTCTAGTACCCATAGTACAAGCTCTGCTTAGTTTGGGACTAGATGGCGTTGTGTGTATGTGGTAGAATATTATTATATTATTATTATTATTAAATTGATTGTCTTTTAAAAAAAAACTACGTAGGTATTGTTGTCTTGCTTCCTCATTTACTTAAAAGGCTATCTTTGTCAACAGGTAGTGAAAATGATGATAGTGGTCGTAGTAATATTTGCCGTCTGTTGGTTGCCATTCCACGTGTACTTTCTTGTCACCTCGTACTATCCAGAAGTGGTCAACTACGAGCACATACAAGAGATATACTTGGCCATCTACTGGCTAGCAATGAGTAACTCCATGTACAATCCTATCATTTACTGTTGGATGAATTCCAAGTAAGTTTGCTCACGTTTTATTATCTAAGTATCATCGTACTTCTTGGACCGTGAATAATCCGCTTCGAAAACTTGATCGAATACGGTATTGATCTTGCCTCAAATTTGTTGGAATTTACAGAGATTAGAGTTTAAATTTTGGACTGAAGAGAACCAATCGTGGTTATGGTTGTTTCGGTTCACAAAATACACCTGATACCACAATCGCTGCAATTAAGTCGAAACGTCGGGTAGCAAAACATTTATTGTACCTTATAGACAATTTTAAAATTCAAAATGGCTTTATAATATATTATTTAGAAGTAAGAATATTTTTTTCGTCTTATGTTCTTCAATGTTGGGCTCTTAACGAGCTGTTAACAAAGATATATAACCCAAGATAGGAAAATCTATTTAAATACATGCACGGCTGTCAGATTCCAAATTAGGCTAACAACGCGACCTTCGGACGCGAAAAGTATAAGACGCTGCACAAAACTAGTTGGTCGCCCCCATAATACACCCAAGATCAAAACTGTGTGTCCTTTTCAAATATGGATATCATTCACGAAAGTCTCTATTTATTATCCTGTTTTATCTCTTGTTGAAAGATTTGAAATATTTTAGAGAAAAGTACCGTCAAATAATGACTTCAAAATTACAAATATATCTGTCTGATCAATAAATTGTTTGAAGCTCTTTCGTAAGTCTTAAAATTAATCTTTCTTGTTTGTATATATAAAAACATTATCTCTGCAGATTTAGACGAGGCTTCAAGCAGTTCTTCTGGTGTTGTGGTGCTTTTGGTCACGGTGGTCTGGATAGGCGTAGAGGCTTCGGCACCGATCGCATCGACCGATCAGTGCGCTCATTGTCACCGAGCCGTAAGAATGGTACCAGTAAGCTCGTAAACTATTTATTTGCTTTCTGTAGATGCTTCCAATATGAAACAACCATGAAATGCTAACATTTTGATCTATTTACGGAATGTTACAAAAAGTATGGTCGATTTAAGAATCCTAATTTGTGGGCAAAAATAGTTTTAGAATTAATTTAAGAACTATTTTTTTTTCCTTTGAAAATACTTTGTGCATTTCTAAAAATATATTAACTGTTTTGAAGTCTTTCTTTAAATCATTCACGGAGCTCTACTAAACGACCAAATTTTCTGTAATAATCTTTATAACATACTACTCACAATACTTTTAGATTGCAGCATTTTTAATAAATATTACTCTTCTTGCTCATTTAACAAGAAGTTAGGGGCTCTAAATCAATTTCCTTCTATTTGATATTTTCCCTTGTAAATATTTTCATTCTTTCAGTTTGGAATTTCAATCTAGCTTTACTTCTGTTCTTTATACAAGTATATCAAAACAATCAAATTTATAAAATTTATAGAAAAGTATTTCTTCTTCGTAGGTTTACTCAAGACAACAAAATTCATCAAAAATCCACCTGGCTCTCCCCACTTGCTTCATGCAAATAAAATACACAAGTAAGAGAGAAGGAGCCGAGTTCTGTATATTTTATCGATGTTCTAAAACGTTTCAGACACGAAACACTCGCGCTAGCTATCCTATCCTAACCTATCAGTAGTTAGGCAATTTTCCGTGAACCATCCTTGTGTCTCGATTTACCACCCATCGATCGCTTCTCCCTAATCATCATCGTCTCTACAGACCAGATCACCGTCATTTTAATCCATAAAAATCAATAAAACCGTTAACGACCGGAGTGAAGGCTCATAAAATATTAGTCTAAAGATAAAACTTTTCTACAGGCACCATTCGAATGTCGATGCATAGCACTTACAACCAGACTCTAGTGAGCTCTGCATGACAGCGGCGCGCTGCAGGAGCGACTGCGGCGGGCTCGTGCGGGAGCGAAGGCGTTTCCAGCGCTGCCGTTGAGCGCACGTGGATCTGACGCGAGCGCGCTCCCCGTACGCCTCCCACCCCGCACGACCTCTACGCCTAACCGCCAGAAGGCGCTAAAGAAAATTGACAACAACTGGGTATATCATATAGTATTAAACTTCTCCTACGTTATAAACGTAAATAGTTTTGAACTGCGGAAAGTGACATACTAGTCAATCAAGTATTTAGTTGTATAATCATAGTGGATGTTTTATAACTTAATATATGTCTAAAATTGTTTTATAAGAAAGTAAATATTCATGTTGTATTGGTGTTTATTCTAATAATGGACTAAGACGACGACTCATAGTTATTTCTTTCATTTATTTTAAGAGTGGCAGGAGTGCTTATGAAATAAGTACTTTAATATATTTTAACTTGTCCAATTCAAGGTATATTTTTTCTTATTTAGCATGATTTGATATGTCTTATATAACTTTCTATGTACCTACTTACTTTTTGCACTTAATAAATGTGTATACCAATTGTATAAATATTAAATAAAATTAAGAACTTGAATAAAATATAAGACAGAATTGTAAACATAATGTAAATATTATATGTAATAATAACACAGTTCACATTTAAATATGTAGGTATAATATAATCAGTTTATCTCTATAATTCTTACTTTACATCTACTTTCCATCTCTACATCTTTACATCAGTACTAAAACTTTTTACTTTACTATTAACTCTATTCAATGTTTTTCCAACTTAAATTACATTTTATTAAAAATTCAAATATCTTTTAAGTTTAACATTTAGTTTAATTAATAAACAATGACTACTAAAATTTAGATTTTGTCTCTGACAGTGACAAAGAAGAGACGGCAAAAACATTTAATGTAAAACCTTGATACGATAAATTATTAATATTTTTCATTAAATTTTACCTAATACTACAAAATATGAATTAATATTATAAAACCACACAAGTACATGACATGTCAGCCATAAATAATTTAATTCTAAGGATTATGAATTTTGTACTAAAATTTTGCCAATTAGTTACTTTACTTTATTCTTACCTTTGAAAGTTGCAGTTTAATTACAATTGACATGATTACTGTCGGACTTGCAACTGATTCCATTTTGTTCAAAACTTGTTACGTATTGTCAATCGATAAAATACACAGGTATAAACCTATCTGTACATATGGTATTCATTTATATCACGCTTACGATTTTGCTTTCAATCGTTATTAAAAATAGGTTTATGCCGATTCGATTGAACCGGTTTTGAGCATCATTTTATGTTAAACTAGTAACTCTTCTTCTCTTCCTCCAAGCCTTTATCTCAAACTAAGTTGGGGTCGACTTTAAGGCGTCGGCCGGAGCTACTGGAGCTGAACATATATTTATATACATACAGATAAAAAGAGAAAGTCTCAAAGTTTTCTAAGGGTGATTTCAGTAGGTTCCTTAATTGATTTTGAAAAAGTGCTTATTTTTAAGAATTTTACAGTAAAATTTTAAAAAAAGATTAGAACTCGTTCTCTCTCGTTTAAAACATTAGGGTGAAGCTCTGAGAAAAACAAAATCTTTCCTAGCCAAGTACCCTTTTCCTAAGTATTCTATTGGGTTTTAGAGTGAACGTACAAAATTTTCCTGGTCTTACTTGCTTTAGCCGTTCTTCTACGTACAAGCATAATAACAGAAATTTCAAATCAAATCATTTACAAGAAATGTTATCGACAAACTATTATTCCTACTACACTTATTCCCACTTACTCGTATTCCAGTGTCGTATATAATATATTGCAGTTATGTCAATATCGCCTTGAATCAATCTATGATTTTATTAAAATACTAGTCGAAATTACAACCCTCTAATATTATTTAACTATAAGATGTTCAAACAATAAAAGTAATAGCTTTTACAATACTCCAACAAAAACTTTGCTGTTTTCAATTTTAAATATCTTATTAAATATAACTTACTTTCTAAATGAAGATTACCACTTCTGTCGAATTATGGTTTTAATCACGATCATGGAAAGTTCGTGGCTAAGTGGTAACCGAGTAAGTTAACACATTGCAAAGTTAAAAAAATTAAGCCAGGTCAGTCCATGGATGGATGGCCATTTCTTAACACAAGGAGACTGATCCGTGCTTCGGAGAGCACGTTAAGCCGTCGGTCCTGGTTGCCAAACGAACATCTGTGGCAATCGTTACGGGTAGTTGAAGCCCTGAATAGTCCGACAAAAGTCTTTCTACAGAACTTCAGTCTCGCCTGCTTGGGCTGTGGAGGTGTGGTGTCAGTCGCTCCACGAAAAATATCGAAGTTCAGCCCTATTGTAGTAGACTTAAAGACGACCCAAACCTAGTTTGGGAAAAAGGCTAGGAGGAACAAGTTTTAAAATTAAGCTAACAACTAGTAGCAGCAAGCGAATTATGAATGTCTCACCTGAGTTTTTCCTCTTGAAGACAATATATTCCAGAAAAGATTTCAATATAATTTATCTATAGTAACATTGTGGTCCACTAAAATACAATACGATTACGATTTTGTCTCCATTTATCGCATGTAACATGTGCAAAATTAACGGGACTGAAACTCTTAAATTTTAATTTTAGTAACTATAAGTTTATAAGGGTTAAAATCTATAATTATACTTGAAATAAGTAGCTGTATTTTTATGTTTTATATGTTGTATATAAAAGAGCTTTGTAAATATTTTGTATGTTAAAATGTATCGCCATCTTCTATTTTAAACGTTAAGAACTACATACATGTGAAATTAAGAAGTAAATAAACTATGAATATTTTTTTTTTTTATATTCCTGTCCAATAAACTATTATTTACATAAATCGATAGAATAAATAATTATAAGACTTCACGGGTAAAGGATATTTTTTTAATGTATTATTTTCCTCTTTCCTCTGTCAGATTATATCTATCTATATATATAAGCTCCCGAAACCCCCTGCATACTAAATTTAATATATATATATATATTTACATTAATTGCTTATTTAAAGGTATTAGATATTTACAAAAAAAAGTTGATAGGGATTCTATCAGTCAATCTAGTTTTCATAGTACAAGCTCTGCTTAGTTTGAAACTAGATGGCGTTGTGTGTCAGATGTCCGAAATATTATTATTATAAGCGACTAGACTAGACCGATTTCTTTAGGTTGTAAAAAAAAATGTGTTGTTATATGACCTTAACTTCAATTTGAAGATATCTAAGCCTAACATCAATATCAGCCTGACTAAAGTTACGTAATAATGATAATAAATGAAAATGATGCCGTTCTGAGCTTACAACTTTGTCTTCTGTTCGTTACTAGTTCCGAACTTGTTCACCTAAATACCCAGTTCTGCCAGATTATGTACTACTTCGGAGTTCTCACGCATCGCAGTGCATTAGAAATATCTGTGGATAACTTTTCTATAGGCAACTTTTCACCGTCTAATCAGAGAGTACGAGTGAGTCTTCAGAAGTCCGGACACGGATGTTGAAAGGCAAGATTAAATTACATATTGATTCTGTACAATAAGAAACTATTTCGCACACTGATTTCTAGAACTATAGCCATAAGCTCTCTCTAAAATAGAGAAACGTGCCATTTCTCTGCTCTGAAGTTGCTAGCGTCGCACACTAAGGTACCTCATAGGATCAGGCGACCCTAATACTTTTACGTAACGTACATTTATCTGATATTGAAAATATTCTGAACGATCCTTCATTATGTATATTTACATTGTATATAAAAACAGACGGTCTAAATACTGTATTATATATTTTGAATACGAAATAGTATTTTGTAATTTGTATATTTATTGAAGCAACAACAACAAACTTATATCCAGCATGTACATCTTGTCAAACAAGTAATTTCAGTTTTATATTGCCATTGTGCACAACACTACTGTTTGTCGACTTGACGCTGACAGGTGCTGACAGAATACATGAAATTTTCCAATTTAGCGAAAACACTGACGACCCTTGAAATTTATATCAAAAGAAAACAGCGACGTTTCAACTTTTACTTTCTCTCTTAAACCAAATTGAGACATAGATTCAAACTAATTTCATATATTATACTTTGATTACGATTAGAAAGGTAATGATCACTTTTATCAATGATCAATTTTAAATCTATCTACACGAGCTTTGAAGTGACTGTAAGAAGATAAATAAATACGAAACTTAATCTATAATTTCAATGTTTCTCTTAGAAGCACGTTCTTTTTCTTTTACAAAAATGTTGTCAAATATGATTTCATGAAAGAAGCCGTAGCTGTATTTTATCTTTTGGAGTAAATTACTTACTTATCGAAAAGTAAAGTAATTTAGGGTAATCTTAATAAAATTTTGTTGATTCCGTTTCGACAATGTATAAGATTTTGCAGGTATATTCTGTATCGGCTTATATCTTATTTAAAAAAAAGACAATCTCGTTTAAAAAGACAAGTCCCGCATTAGGAATATATCCTGTGTCGCGGGGGACTTTACAAACATACATGAAACGGACACAAAGAACACCCAGACTCAGAACAACAATTTGTGGACCACACAGTGTTGTCACATGTGGGGTTTGAACCCCACATGGTTAGTAGGAAACGGCATGGTGACCACTTAAATCACTACGCCATCCGTGCAGTCCGACCGCATGGTGACGAATTTTTTTCGCCTTGTATATGATTTAATTTAAGGTAATACAGAACATAAATTAAAAGAGTTTTAGATATTAATTATATATTTATAATATAGTTTTATTGTATAGACTTACCGGACTATGATGGGTCCACATGTTGGAACTGTAGCTACGGCTTAAGCTACGGTTAAGTTATTGTAGATGTTTTTTGGTATGTATGGTATGTATACCAAAAAACATCTACAATAACTTAACAAAATGAAACGAATAACTATGCAACTATATAATAGGTCTTTACCTATGAAATTGCCGTTTTGTATGCAATAAGTGAACGTACCTATTTTTTAACCTTTTTTATTTCTGTTATTCGAAGTAATCACCCATGCAATCGACGCAATTTGCCAACGTATTGGCAGCTTATTGATGCCCTTCTTGTAAAAATCAACTGGACGGGAGGCAACAAACTCTTCAAAGGCATTTTGTACTGCCTCTCGGGAATTGAATTTTTTACCCACTAAAAAGTTGTCTAAATTTTGGAAAAAGTAATAGTCGGTAGGTGCAAGATCTCAATCAATAAACTGCCAATGCGTTGGCAAAGATGCGTCGATTGCATGGGTGATTACTTCGAATAACAGAAATAAAAAAGTTTGAAAAAATAAGTACTTTCACTTATTGCATACAAAACGGCAATTTCATAGGTAAAGACCTAATATTTTATTTACACTTTTTTATTTTTTCTGTACGGAAATCCCGTCGGACTCACCGGTGGTTATGTCGGACACGAACCGACTAAAAACCGCACGCCGCCTCGGGTACTAGTAACCAGGTAACCAGAAAGGAAATCCCTGCAACCCCGACGGAATATTATATTTACACCTAAACTGATTAAAACCGTCTCGCGAGTGTCACCTACGGTATTTCCGGACCGATACAACCTCCAAAGAAAAGCGACACAAGCGTAACTACTGAGTATTAGGTGCACATGGATGGTAGTAGTTACTTTTTGTTAGGTGACCCATCTGTTCCTTTACCTTCTATATAATAACATAAAGAAAATAAATTCAGGCCCTCAGAATGGGATAGGGATCGTAAAGGCCACTAGTTTATAAATTTATTGAGTATTTGGTTGTATCAAATTTCCAACTTTTTAAGTAACTGTTGTAGGTGTAACAGGACTGTTACATTGGGCCCGTACGGGTGGTTTGGCATATATTCCTTTGCTCATAAATTTGCTAATAATTAAATTAAATATGATCTTGTTTCCATCGGGTATTTCTCTGCCTGATAATTTTGTTTATCGGGGTCTATAAAAGTCAGAACGCTGTAAAATCCGGCATGTAAACTGTAGGCTTATCCCTTATAAAGTCTAATTTACGATGTTTGAGGTGTAACAAGCGGCAATAATAAACAAAATGATTTTACTTATTAATCAATTATTTATTTTATGATTATACCTATAAATTGTACACGTATATAATTTGGCA